TTGACCCAAGGCTCACCCCCCCCCCCCTCCTATACTCACACCAGCACACAGAACAACCTCTTTGTGTGGCCTTCAAATGGACAATATTTACTACTATAATGAGCCAAGGATGTCTGTGTGTCCCGCGCGTGACGTCACTCCACGTCGACCAGCCCCCTTATTAATAATCATGAGCAGGTGACGTCACTCCACATGGACCCCCCCCCTCATTAATAATCATGAACAGGTGACGTCACTCCACATGAACCCCCCCCCCTAATTAATAATTATGAGCAGGTGATGTCACTCCACATGGACCCCCCCCCTAATTAATAATCATGAACAGGTGACGTCACTCCACATGGACCCCCCCTAATTAATAATCATGAGCAGGTGATGTCACTCCACATGGACCCCCCCCACCTTATTAATAATCATGAACAGGTGACGTCACTCCACATGGACCCCCCCCCCTAATTAATAATCATGAGCAGGTGACGTCACTCCACATGGACCCCCCCTAATTAATAATCATGAGCAGGTGACGTCACTCCACATGGACCCCCCCCAATTAATAATCATGAACAGGTGACGTCACTCCACATGGACCCCCCCCTAATTAATAATCATGAACAGGTGACATCACTCCACATGGACCCCCCCATAATTAATAATCATGAACAGGTGACGTCACTCCACACGGACCCCCCCCCTAATTAATAATCATGAGCAGGTGACGTCACTCCACATGGACCCCCCTTAATTAATAATCATGAGCAGGTGACGTCACTCCACATGGACCCCCCCCCCCCAATTAATAATCATGAACAGGTGACGTCACTCTACATGGACCCCCACCTAATTAATAATCATGAACAGGTGACGTCACTCCACATGGACCCCCACCTAATTAATAATCATGAGCAGGTGACGTCACTCCACATGGACCCCCCCTAATTAACAATCATGAACAGGTGACGTCACTCCACATGGGGGGGGGGGGGGCGAGGCGCCTCCTCCCCCCTCCTCGGCGTCAACTCACAACCCTCACCACAAAGGCAGAACCCTCACGTCGTCACGTGGTCTCCGTCACGCTGTTGAGACATCAAAGTAAAAAGGACGTCATGATGAACAAGGGATTTTAACCTTTAAATGAAATAAGGGGCCGTCCATAAATGACGTCACGCACCTGGGTGGGGGGGGGGGCTCAGACATTTGTGACGATGTGTGACGATGTGTGACGATGGGGGGGGGGGGGGGTGAGAAATGTGACGTCACATCAAAATGCGCAACTTTAAATAAATATAGGCAACACGTTCTACTTAATTAAATCGACTTTTTAATAAATGTTTTTTCCTACAACATCAGAGTGCAGCGCCACATTAAATACGCACTACAATGACTTTGGACGATTTGAAGCATGTTTTTTTTTTTGGGGGGGGGGGGCAGAGCTTTGTGACGTCATATTTGAGGGGGGGGGGTCTGACTTTTTGTCACGCCGTGTGACAACGGGGGGGGGGGGGGGTCAAAAATCGTCCAAAATCGCGTGACGTCATTTATGGACGGCCCCTAAGTCCGTCACGGTGGCCTTACAAATTGCACACGAATGGATGCAATGCATATATCACGTCGCGTTCTGCTCTTCGCATGCAAGTTTCAGATTCACTGCAATACACCCGTCATTGGACGGGCAAAAGGTTAGTATATAATTAAGCGACGTTTCGGGCGATGGACCTTCATCATATGAGACGGATAATACCTCATAGAATGGCTTACTTAGAGAGCGCGCGTTGATTTAAATACAGTAGCAAGACAAAGGTCCCCTGTATAGCTTCAACAGACTGTCGGGGCAAGTGCTGTTAGCGAGCAGCACCTATGAATGCCGGCACGGCACACGAGGGGGTGGGTGGCCAGCACCGCCCGCCTTTGTCTCCCTAGTGGCGATGTTTACACATCGCGCCAGATACTCATTTGAGGCTGAGACGACCTAGGGGAGGCCCAGGACCGACTTAGATGTTCGCCACTGATGTTAGCCATGACGGAGAATCGAAGAGTGCGCTAACCACTTCGCCACCCCTCCACTCAACACCTGCAGACACGCACAAAGACACAGAGACACGCATGTACAGACACTGATGCAAAGACAAAGATCCACTGTGTAGCCTCTAAGAGGCGTTTGGGGCAAGTGCTGTCAGCAAGCACCAATGAAGGCCGGCAGGACATAAGGAGAGGTGGGGTGGCCAGGACGACGCCCGGCCGCCTTTGTCTCGCCAATGTCGATGTTTACACACTGCGCTAGGCAACCATGTAAGGCTGAGTCGACCTAGGGGAGGCCCAGGATCGGTTCAGATATTCGCCTCCGATGTTAACTCGAGTATCCACACCCCACACACCGAGACACACACAGACACACTGAGACACTCACCCACACACTGAGACACCCACCACACACCCACACACTGTGACACCCACCACACACCCACACACTGTGACACTCACCCACACACCCACACACTGACACACTCACCACATACCTATACACTGTGACACTCACCCACACACTCACACACTGAGACACACACCCACACACTGAGACACCCACCACACACCCACACACTGTGACACTCACCACACACCCACACACTGTGACACCCACCACACACCCACACACTGAGACACTCACCACACACCCCCACACTGTGACACCCACCCACACACCCACACACTGAGACACTCACCACACACCCACACACTGTGACACCCACCACACACCCACACACTGAGACACTCACCACACACCCCCACACTGTGACACCCACCCACACACCCACACACTGAGACACTCACCACACACCCACACACTGTGACACCCACCACACACCCACACACTGTGACACTCACCACACACCCACACACTGTGACACCCACCACACACCCACACACTGTGACACTCACCACACACCCACACACTGTGACACTCACCCACACACTCACACACTGTGACACTCACCACACACCCACACACTGTGACACTCACCCACACACTCACACACTGAGACACACACCCACACACTGAGACACCCACACACCCACACACTGAGACACCCACCCACACACCCACACACTGTGACACCCACCACACACCCACACACTGACACACTCACCACATACCCACACACTGAGACACCCACCACACACCCACACACTGACACACTCACCACACACCCACACACTGTGACACCCACCCACACACCCACACACTGTGACACCCACACACATCCACACACACTCAGTCACCCACCCACATACACTGAGACTCACCCACACATTGAGACACCCACATACCCCAGACCTCACCCCAGACACGAGACCCCCCCCCCCCTACGTGCACTGACACACACACACACTGAGACACCCACCCACATGCGCACTGACACACGCACACACACCCATACACTGTGACACTCACACACACCCACACACACTCAGTCACCCACCCACACACACTGAGACTCACCCACACACTGAGACACCCACATACCCCAGACCCCACCCCAGACATCAAGACCCCCCCCTCTACGCGCACTGACACCCACACACTGTGACACTCACCCACACACCCACACACACTCAGACTCACCCACACACTGAGACACCCACATACCCCAGACCCCACCCCACACACGAGACCCCCCTCCCCTACGCGCACTGACACACACACACTGAGACACCCACCCACATGCGCACTGACACACGCACACACACCCACACACTGTGACACTCACCCACACACCCAGACCCACCCACACCCACACTGAGACTCACCCACACACTGAGACACCCACATACCCCAGACCCCACCCCACACACGAGACCCCCCCCCCCTCTACGCGCACTGACACACACACACTGTGACACTCACCCACACACCCACACACACTGAAACACCCACCCACATGCGCACTGACACACGCACACACACCCACACACTGTGACACTCACCCACACACCCAGACTCACCCACACACACTGAGACACTCACACACTGAGACACCCACATACCCCAGACCCCACCCCAGACACGAGACCCCCCCTCTACGCGCACTGACACCCACACACTGAGACACCCACCCACATGCGCACTGACACACGCACACACACCCACACACTGTGACACTCACCCACACACCCACACACTGTGACACTCACCCACACACCCACACACTGTGACACTCACCCACACACCCACACACACTCAGACTCACCCACACACACTGAGACACCCACATACCCCAGACCCCACCCCACACACGAGACCCCCCCTCCCCTACGCGCACTGACACACACGCACACTGAGACACCCACCCACATGCGCACTGACACACGCACACACACCCACACACTGTGACACTCCCCCACACACCCACACACTGTGACACTCACCCACACACCCACACACTGTGACACTCACCCACACACCCAGACTCACCCACACACACACTGAGACACCCACATACCTCAGACCCCACCCCACACACGAGCCCCCCCCCCCTCCCCTACGCGCACTGACACACACACACTGAGACACCCACCCACATGCGCACTGACACACGCACACACACATACTGTGACACTCACTCACACACCCAGACTCACCCACACACACACTGAGACACCCACATACCCCAGACCTCACCCCACACACAAGACCCCCCCCCCTCTACCCGCACTGACACCCACACACTGAGACACCCACCCACATGCACACAGACACACGCACACACACCCACACACTGTGACACTCACACACACCCACACACACTCAGTCACCCACCCACACACACTGAGACTCACCCACACACACTGAGACAGCCACACACTGAGACACCCACATACCCCAGACCCCACCCCACACACGAGACCCCCCCTCCCCTACGCGCACTGACACACACACACTGAGACACCCACCCACATGCGCACTGACACACGCACACACACGCGCACGTTATCGCATGGCTCGCCGGGTTTATTTATAATGAGGCAGGAGGAGGAGGTAGAGGCAGTCGCCTTAACTTCTGGTCCGGATAAACATAGGAGCGCGGGGAAGACGACACCCGCGGGCAGACCCGACTCAGTCTTCAAGACAACCTCGGAGCAGTCGCATCACCGTCATCACCATCCTCCTCCTCCTCGTCTAAGCGAAATTCTATAGCCACTCTCCGCTCATTTGCTCTCAGCCTTCCGTCCCCATCACCATCACCTTCATCACCACCACCACAACCATCACCTTCATTACCATCGCCGCTGCCGCTACGGCCATCGCGAGCACCACGACGACCACCGATCAAGCAACAGCCATCACCGCCAGTGAGTGAGCAATCTTCATTTCGCGAGAAGAAGAGCCGAGACGAGATGGGGCGGTGAGGTGACGTTAATGGGCGTTTGAAGGAGGCGGCGACCTGAAGAGGTAGCCAGGAGTCACCGAGGAGGCATCCGCCTTTCTTGTTCAGAGAGGAGACGGTGGCGGCGGTGGAGAGAGAGGGGAGATTCGTTCCGTGAGCCGACTCACCCGAAAGAGTTCGTCAGAGGAGACGCGGCCGAGTCGCCCTCTCGTCGACCGAAGTTTGGACGAATCCGCGCGGCGTTTTCACGCTTCCCCCGTAGACCTCGCGTGCAGCGCACCAAGGGAGGTTGGGTGTTTTTGTTAAAATTTGTATTTAAAAAATTTGAGAACTACTTTTTTTATTTATAAATTAGCGTCGTGAAGAAACCACTCGTCGTTAAACCGCGCCGCGAAGAACCTCGCCATCGGTCGTTGTAAGTGCCGTGCTTTTCACGACGTTTTGACTCCCCACTCTACCTCGAGTTGTTTCTTCTTCTTCTTCGGGCTGTCAAAAAAAAACCACACACACGACCGAGAGAGGGAGAAGAAGAATGCCTCATTGGTGATCGTGACGAAGCGACGCACCACCGCTCCTGTTCGTCGCCACCCCATCGCTGGCGTCGTGAAGAACTCACGCCTCGTGTGGTGAACAACTCACACTTCTTGTGAAGAACTCACGCCGGCGGCTCGCACCCACTTCAACTCGCGCTGTGAAGAAGCGACCTTTTTTTTTGCTCCTCTGCGAAGCCGATAAAGATCCGCATCACCACCAAGAAACTCACCAAGAAACTCACCAACCTCCACCCACCCATCCAACGACTGCCTTGAAGAAAATCACGCGTTCAACTCTTCCCCCCCCCCCGGCCGCAGGTAAGAGTTTTACAATCTCCCTCTGCCTCGCTCGGGCCGGGTTAGGGTGGTGAGGACCGGGGGCGATGTCGCGACGTCGCCAGATCAGCGACGATCAGAACGAGAATTGACAACAAGAACAAACGACGCCGTGCCTGAACTTGACCGTCGCGAAAGAGCGCGCGCGTGCGTGCGCGCGTTCACGTTACGCGCGCGCGCGCTCGCGTAACGCTCATGGGCATCGTGTCGTGGTCGTGTCGTTAGAGGAGAGGGTAGGTTGTCGTGGCTGCCGCGATGCGCTACGACCCCTCAACTCCCGGCGACCGGAGTTCGATTCCCGCTCATCCCGGCCAATAGCAGAGGCGGCGAATGTCTGAACGGGTTCCTCCTGGAACCTACCCCCCGCTCAGCCTCAAATGAGTACAGCCGGTGTGTGGTGGTGTAAACATCTCCACTCGGGAGGCAAAGGCGGCCGGGCGTGGTGCTGGCCGCCCATCCTCCTCCGTGTGCCGTGCCGGCTTTGATAGGCGCTCGCTAACAACACTTGCCATAGCAGTCCGTCGAAGCTTATATGGGGGAACTTTGTCTTGATATGCTAGTTTACTTAACGTGCACTCTCAAAGGAAGCCAGTCTATAACGTAGTATTATGATTATCCGTCCGCTATGACGAAGGGCCGTTGCCCGAAACGTCGCCAATGATATATTTTTCGTTTGAAGGCCACACGAGCTCAAAGTTATTGACGAGTACGTGCTGTTGTTGTTAATTGTGCTTGCACACCAGTGTCATCCCAGCAGCAGTATCATCATCATCACTACCACCACCACCCTAAACACGGTCTACCAATATACGTGAAACTATTCAACTTCTCGACGGCGATTTGATTAATTGTCGCTAATTAAGGAGTAGCAATCTCGGGTTTTTTCTTGAGTGGTGAATTTAGCGGCCTCTGGTGGCTTGTGGCGGGTCACGTGAGCTCGTTACACGACACGTGATTCAATCGCAAACGCATCCCCCGACCCCTCGCATTGACACGCGCGATTCTACGTTTAGCATCGCGACCTCGGCGAATCGATTATTAATCGATGACTCGATGCATCGTTCGCGGGTTTGTCGCGGTTGGAACCCCGCGGGCCGCCCTGGCTATCACTGCGGTGGCGTGGTATTTCCGAAACATACCACGCTCGCTCTGATGCACAGTCGTCTAATTCGTATTCTTCTTCTTTTGTACGGATTAATAACAGCAGATGAAATATGCGACCTTAGATGTTGTTATCCACTCAATTGTCTGTTCATGAGCAGAGTGGATCTCTGTGTCATCCTGCGGTGGCAGCGGTGTTGTGTTTACAATGCATGGTCGATAGTTTTGGGATTTGTGGCCGCAAAATTAACTCAATTTGGGTTACACGCAGCAGCAATAATTGCTACCCAAATAAATATTATAGACCATGACTCAGCGGTTACACACACGCTGAATTAACGATTACCCTCCCTTAGTGCAAGACTCGTGCCGTCTTGCAGGCATGGTGCGTGACGGTGGCTAGGAGATGTTAACTACCTCGCCTGGTATACAGGAGGTCGTGGGTTCGATCGCGACCCTGATGCCTGCTGTATATTTGGAGTTTGTGTGTCTCTCTCCGGGTCCTCCGGTTTTGCCCTCCACGTTTAGAATCGGCGTCACGCGTCTGGAGTGTTCGGCCGCTATAAATTTCCACGCGATGACAAGCCACTTCGTTGAGCTGTCATTTGCGGTGGGCAGGTCGCTTCTGCAAAAAGAGCTACATAGGTCAGTGGGACCTTACCCTGGTAGTTTAGTTCAGATGCCGAGTCACTTTGTGCCACACATGGGGCACGCTGCCACTGGGGCGATGTAAACCGTTCATCGCGCCGCAAAGGATGACGGGTAAAATAAAAAATGGCGAATCATTCACCATTGGTGCGACCGCGCGCGCCATTGCAGTAGGTGCAGTGACGTCATTGAGTTCGCGGCAATGACGCGCACGGACGTGACTTATTTTCTTTAATCGCCGTTTCTTTTGTTTTGGTCCGAATCGAAGTTCAAGGGAAAGCGCCGTGCAGTCGCGGGATGGGCAGTCCTGTTGTGTTTACAGCGCGTTTCAGGACGAGTGTTATTTGCCGGGTTTCGTTTTTTTCACACGGGATCATCGGTGAGTTGTGGCCCGGCTTATCAATGCAAACAAAAAAAAGTCACAAAAAAAAGTCACGGAAAAAAGTCACGAAAAAAAGTCAAGAAAAAAAGTCAAGAAAAAAAGTCCACGCGGTTCCCGCGTACATCTTCAGCCTCGTTGGGGCTCATCGGGGTGCCATGCCCAGCCGCAATTCGTTAAAGGGAGTCCAGCGTATTACACGGGTCTTCGACTTAATTAAGACTCATCATTCATCCATGCTTGGCCACCAGGCTGTCAAGGGCAGCAGAGAGTGGTGTAACGTGTCCTCGTAATCACTGGGGATCATCGGTTAACCAAGGCCAGCTGCACGTGGTTAGAGAGAGCTCAGCGTTTTCCATGGATCTTCAACTCACGCGAGGCTCATCAGTAACCCGTAACCAGCAGCAGCGGGTCAATGGACAGCCCAGAGTGTTATAAACGCATCGTCTATTTGTAGTGGGCCTCATGACTATTACAATAACCAGATATCCACAATAGTTTTTTGTTAGATCGCGTAAATATAAATGTGTCGTTAAACCCGCCACCACCCGACACAGCCAATTGATAAGTTTTGTCACGTAAACAAAACGTAGCCAATTCGTAACTAGTACAGCCATTTCGGTGTGTTGGAGAGCAACATTTACAGTTTAACGACGCATTTACATTCACGAGATCTCACCCAAAAACCTCTATTGTGGATAATATTGGCAGCTATACAGGCCGATATAAGGAGAGTCGCATTTTGGTACGCGTGTTCATTTCGGGCTCTGCACTGAACCGAAGCCAGCTTCAGACGGACTCACTGTGTTTATAACGAGTCTTCGCCTTCATCGGGGGGCTCATCGTGAAGCCGTTTCCCAGCTCACAGGTCGCCACGGTTATCCCAGACGGACTGTGAAAGTTGTGTAAACAACACAGAACAATTGTGTAAGCCGAGAGCGGCACACCCGGGGGGGGTGAGTGGGTGGGGTGGGGGGCGATGAAAGTGGATTAGAGTTACAATTTACACCGTCGCCACTCCACATTACCAGGCCATGATTGCTGACTTCCGCGCGTAATTGCTGGACTAATAATCGCCGAAGCGCTCTCGGCCCAAGTCCGCGGGACAATGGACCCGTTTCAGGTGCAGGCAGAGACGCTGTCCGGTCATTTTGCGTGAAATCTTGGAAGAGCAGCTGACTTTATGGGTTTCATCATCGGAGTCCTCGTCATCATCAATAGCAGCGGCGTCAGCGGCAGCAGCGATCGCCTGATGATGCTGGTTGGGATCAGCGAAACGTCGCACTCAATTGTAAATGTTGTGCATGGGTTTTCTCTCTAACAAAGACAAAGATCCCCCGTATAGCCTTAACATAATGTAGGGGCAAGTGCCGTTAGCGAGCACATATAAAGGTCGGCCAACAACCACGCCCGGCCGCCTTTGTCTCCCCAGTGGCGATGTTTACGCATCGTACCGGGTACTCATTTGAGGCTGAGTCGACCTAGTGGGAGGCCCGGAACCGGTTCAGATAATCGTCACCGGTGTTGGGGGCCGTGAGCGGGAATCGAACCCGGGTCGCCGGGTTCGTAGCGCAGCGCGCTAACCGCTACACTACCGCCCTACCCCACACACACACAGACTGGTGGTGCTGAAGTAGTCCACACATTGGCACGTGTTGTTCACGTGACAGACATTACTAATTGGCTGCGTCGGGTGGAGGTACGCGATCTATCCCCCAACCAACTTAATCGTGAACATCACGACGAATCCACCAGCATCAGCAGTCAGTATAGCAGCTGCAGCAGACAGAGCAGCAGCTGCTCGTTCCTTCATTAACGTCTCTATCATCATCATCATCAGCAGCAGCAGCAGTTTGGTCCGTAATTATCATCATCAGCAGCAGATTTGGTCCAGAATCATCATCAGCAGCAGTATCAGCAGCAGCAGCTTGGTCCGTAATTATCATCATCATCAACAGCAGCAGCAGCTTGTTCCATAATTATCATCAACACCGGCATCAGCAGCAGATCTGGTCCAGAATCATCATCAGCAGTATCAGCAGCAGCAACTTAAACCGTCATCATCATCATCAGCAGCACCATCATCATCATCGTGAGTCGCAGCACTTTGCACGTTGTTGTTGTCCTGTAAGGGGCGGGTCCCTTGCGCGGTGCTCATGGAGAGCGCTTTGCCTCGTCAGCCCGCATAGCATTTGCCTTAAGCTGACCACAGCCCTGCTGATGAGACCCAGAGAAGTGGAACCGGTCCAGGGTTCTTTGCCGCTTAAACTGGCGCCTGGCAAACATCGGCGTGGAATGCGGAGAGGCTGGCGGTGAGCGCAAACGTCTCTTGAACAAAATAATATGATGATGATAATATAATATCATGATAATATAATGATAATACTAACATAATACTAATATACTGATAATAATAATATGATTTTATAATATAATAATTATGATATAATTATAATAATTATCACAATAGCGCGTCACTTGATTTTAATTGTCACCGTGGTGGCGCGTGGAAGTCCGTCTTGTTATTTGTATTAATTTATTTACGTATTAAACGGTAGGGTCAACAACAACAACAATCAACAACACGAGTAACCGGTTAAGGGCGCTTTCTATCGGCTTCAGCGTCACACTGGACAGGGCGAAGTACTCGGTTTTCGGCGGCGATGATGATGATGGGGTGTCGTGGACGTGTGAGTGTTGGAGCGATCTGGGACGCATGGCTGAACCCTCCCTGCTCTATGAATGAGAGAAATGAACCTCGGTACTAGGGCCAAAGTTATAAAGGTTTATACAGGTATAAATGTAATAATTTGTGTGCGTTTTTATAATGATTAGCATAGACTCGAGCACGCTT